TCCTTGGTCGTGGGTGTGCGTTGGGAGTCCTTTTGCAGTGGGGGCATGGGCGGAGGCGGGTGGTGTGGGTCCCTTTCTTGCAACCTCTGCGGCGTGAGGGTTAGTGACTGGTGTGGACTGGTGTTGATGGCGTGTGACGGATTGCTAGCTTATGGTGGGCGTGCGGTATGTCTGCTGGGTGGAGGCGTTTCGTGGGTGGCGGCTTGGAGCGTTGGTTGTTGGGAGGGAGAGAGGGAGGGAGGGAGGAGGAGAGAGGAGGAACATGAAGGCCATGGGGATGTTTTCATGCCTGCGGGATCTGCGGCGCAGGAAGGACGCGGGAATGCTTTGCACGCCTCTTCCTAGAATGAAAAGGGTGTGTCGACAGCCTGTAATAAAGTCAAGGAAAACCTTTTTATCGTTCTACATTTACCACTGCTTCTCTTCCTAAATGACTGATTAAATGTCACATTACTCACGCCTACTGACAGGCGCGCGGGCGAGAAAGCGAGACACCTCACAACACCAATCTGTCTCCATTATTCCGCGATTTGCTGTTTCTCAACAAATTTCCGCCTCGTTGCGCCTCGTGTTCGTTCGTGTCGTGGCCGCGAGGAGGCGTGGCGGTCGCCCGTTGTCGCGGCTTCGGGCGTCAGCGCCGCGAACCGCCGGGTGACAAAGCCGGGAATAATGAGCCTGGATAACAGCCGCCGATGGGTCGCCGACTCCTCCCGCTTTGGTTCATGTGTGCGGAGGCCTCGCGGCGGATGTTGGGATCATGATCGGAAACCATTCTTTGCTCTGTTTCCTGCCTTATTGCTGTCCGCCGCGGCCTCCGACAGGCGGCGGTCAAGCGGGATCTCTCTCCGCCTCTTCCTGTCTGGCGGAGAGACACCTGTAACGCCGCCAAGCTCGCCATTATCATTTCTTTAAGACTTAGGTGACAAAGAGGACAATAAAGTGGTTCTCGCCCATTGTGTTTGGGTGCGAAGATGGCCCCGAGCGAGCGGGCCCCCCCCCCCCCCCCCCAGTCCTCCCTCTCGTGTTTGTGTTTCTGTGGGAAGGATGCGTCAGGGAGAAAGTTTACATGGGAGGACTCGAGGGCGAACGGGTCAGCCATTCTGATGAATTTAAATGCATTTGGGATAGTCCTCGGTGCCTTGTTTACATTACCGGAGTCGCATTCGATGAAGGTGGTTTGAAATCGGGGACAAATTAAATCTGCTGTAAAGGTAGGATGAAATCTGTTGTAAAGGTAGAATGAAATCTGTAAAGGTAGAATGAGGTTCAATTCTTCAACGGAATCTCTTGGCGGACACTTAGAACCGTTGTTTGTTGATAGCCGTTTAGTTCGGCCGTGTCAGGAAAGCTGTGGTTGAAATCGCCGAAGATGAGAGTAACGGGCCTTCGACAAAAGGCTCCCCTTGAAAATCTCAGCTATTGACACCTGCCTGCCATCTTTGTTGTTTTGCTTAGAGTCCGTAAGGTCGAAAGTCCAGTGCGTTGATGCGCTAATAAGCAGGTGAGAGGTGGTTCCTTTGTCACTGTGAATTGTGTTCGCAAGATGGTGTTGTTTACGCGACTTTTTGTATTTCTTAAAGGCAAGTGGGTTTATATTCGAAGAAAAGTGTAGGTTCATCGTAAAAAAATGTCTTTAATTAAAGCACAGCAGATCTTGTTTCTGTTTAGTACCAGTCACGCATGTATTTGCGTTTGTGACTTCCCGACTAAGGGTTGTTTTAGGGTCTGGAACGCTATGGACTTCCGCGACAGGAGGGAAAATCGCTGCGTCATAATGGATCGCTGTCAACCCCTCCCCTTGCCCGACACTCGAAGGGGCAGACCGCCGAAAGTAGGTGAAAATAAATTATACCCTCCATATGGCACGATTTAAGGTAAATAACGATAGGCGAACGGAAGGAGGAGAGGGAAGAGGAGGGTGTGGAAGACGGGGAAGGGAGAAAAATAATAAAAAAGATGTTTAACAGATAGGTTTGATAGTTTGTTGTGGGGATGGGCGGGCGGGGAGGGAGAGATAGAGTGGATAACGGCCGCCCTTCCGACAAACAATCGAGCGCTCGCAAAAATGATTCTTATTGACTCTTTTTTGCCAATTCTGTAATTTTGGTTACTGGTTTAGCACCTTTTTATTAATGGAGGACGTAATTCACCTAAAAAGGGGGATGAAGGTTTTCCCGATAGTCCAGCCGAAGCCAAAGACGTTTCTCGAACCGTAAGGAAAGATTGCCTGGTCGTCGACATTCCCGATGGACAGATAAGGTGCCCAGCCTGATCTCCGGGAGTTTACATGTAGGCTTAACAGATTTGTGAACCTATTAGTACAGTGCCAGTTGTTGACCCATTCCCATTAACGATGTTTATCTCTTATTTTCCGTGTTTGGACCGGGGCTATCCGATTACCGAACTGGCGAGAGGCGGGCGAGTCTCTCCCGACGCGACGACCAGACCACGAGGCACCGACGGCTAGGAAATGTTTATTATTTTGAAGGAGTTTTTTTTCCTTTTTTTTTGTCCTCGTTCTCTCTTGACTCTTTCCCTCGCGATGGTTGGGTTTATGTTTCCTTTCTCCTTGTCGGTTGTGAATGCGAGGGTTGTTTGGGCGCTGCGATAATTCGTATATTTACGTTGAAAGGGTTTATCACGGTTTTAATTATGATGAATGGCTCTCGTATTTATTTATTTTATATTTTATGTTTTTTTTTTTTTTTTTCATATGTTCTCGCTGAGTAATGGTTCGTGTTCATGATCTTGATAAATGTTTCGCTTAAGTAAACACCGTTTTGTACAGTTACAAACGCGAAATTCTCTCATGATATAACCAGGCGGTCTTAGGTTATCCCATGGCGCTGCTGCTAAAGATGTTCCCTGGTATAGTCATTACCGCAGCTGATGATTGTTGCCCGCTGTAATTACTCCTTTTGTGGGGGTTATTAGGCTATTATTACGGGCCTGGAATTAGCATATGAATTAAATTTGCGGAAGGAGGTCACGGAAATGATTATACAAGAGAGGGCTATTCTTGTTGAGATTAGGTTAGTTCAGACATGATGGCGTTGTGAAGAGAGATAATTTTTCGGTTTTCTCTTTCAAGTCTGAGCGCATTGTTGTCCGATTGCCAGATGCATTGGAGCTAAGTAAGTTAAAAAATATACGGGAGAGAGTAAGTGGAGCGGAAGGGAGGGAAAATATGGTAAAGTGACGTCATAGCGCTTGAGAAATGGCGCGGGGTCAAACCTATCTTCGTCAGATTAGCATAAAGTTATCATTCACCCGGGATACATTCCTCGGAGGAGATTCGTCTTGCGGGCACTCTCGTCTGGGACTGACGTTCAAGAGCTTCAGAACGCCCATGAATAAATTTCTCTCGTATGGGCCGCTCCGTCAAGAAGGTCGATGTATTTTTATCGTTTGGGAATTTGCAATGGCCGTGAATTACCAGGCTTGTAGCGTTTGAGGGGGAATTTTTGTAGTGTTGTGATTTATTGTGTTCGTCGTCGTTGATATGATTGGTATCGTTTTATTGTAGTTATTTAATAGAAGTTAGTCATGAGTATATAAAAGCGTTTGAATATTTGAGGATGTATTGGATATTTGAGGATTAGAAGCCACACGAAGGCTGCGTTGCTGGGAGCCAGGTGCACGCGACCACAGCAACAACCAAAACAAAAAGTTGCCGAAGTGAGGCGGGAGAGCAACCAGCACAGCGAGCACTTGCGCAATGGGAGGCTGAGGCTGCAATGAGAGCAAGAGGTTGTGTGCGGAGGCTTTGCAATCTTGCTGTGGAAATTAATCATTGTGTCAGCTGTTTGGCGAGTTAATAAGGGTTTGGGGTGGCGATCCTTTCGGTGTTTAGAACGCGAGAGAGGGGAGGGGGGAGGGGTTCGTAGTATAGCATTTATACGCGGGAAACATGTGTTTGGAATTTCTTGAAAATAACCGAGGGGAAAATGATAGTGAGAAGCTTGAGAACGTGAAGGAGAACGATTTCAGGCGAGATTTCACTTTACAAGATGATAGTGGGAGAGATTGTAAGACTGAACCCACGCACAATTTCAGCAGATACTTAAATATATATTTCTACTCATATAGATACAGTTGTGGAAGATTTTTTTTTTCTTCTTTTGATATAAATAGTCCAAAGTCCAACCAGATCGTCAAATCGCACCCACGCGCGGCCGTCTGACCTCGGAGGTAAAGATAGCTGAAGTTTTTAGGCTCTTCTCTCTTAGCCATTAATCCATCGCGGTGCACTCCACATCCCTAAATCACCCAGCCCCTCCACATGGCCCGCCGAAAGCCAATAAATTGCCCCAAAATACGAGCCCAAACACCTGGTTCCAAGGGTGTCCTGATAAGAGGGAGTGGGAGCGCATGTTTGAGAACACCCACGCAACACCTGTGGGGGCTCCAAGCGCAGGTGTTTTGGCGTGTGTGTGTCGCAGCAGCCAGCCACCCGCGCTTCCCCGACACTGGTGGAATTTCGGAAGTGTGGGGGAAGGGGAGGGAGAGGGAGGGGAAGAACGTGGGAGGGAGGGAGAAAGAGATGAAGGGGGGGATGGAGTAGAAGAGAGAGAGGGAATGACTGGGATAAAGAGGGAAGGGTGGGAGGGAGAGGTAGAGGAAGGAAGGGAAACGGAGTGGGAGAGAGAGGGAGAGGGAGTGGGTGTGGAAGAGAGGGAGAAGTAGTGTGGGAAGGAAGAACGAGAGGAGAGGAGAGGGAGGGAGAAACATATCAGTGCTTGTGTGTTTCGATAAGCTTTTTGTGTGTTTGCATGTGTCAAATGTCAGGGACGACACTGAAGATGTACAGTGCATTGCTTATTTATTTTTTTATTATTATTTTTTAGAGATCCCTCTGCTTGTGTTTTGGCTGCTAAAGAGGGCGGTGCTGACTTTTTAACGCTTCTTATTGCATCGTGTGTATTTGTCTTTTATTGTTATAGATATTTCTCTCGTTTTTTGCAATATTTTTATACTAATGTTTTCTTTTCTCTCTGCAGCAGGGGATGCGCGACGGGCCAGGCAAACCCCCACCGGACAAGGATGAGACTCCTGCCAAGACGTCCTCCAGACACCGGCTCGAGGAGGTCCTCGCGCAGGAACCGCCGTTTCCTCAGGTAAAAAAAAATAATAAAAGAAAGAAAGAAAGAAGAAAAAAACGTGTGTGTGTGTGTGTGTGTGTCTGTCTGTCTACGTATGAATGTGTGTGTATGTGTGTGCGTGTGTGTATGTGTGTGCGTGTGTGTGCGTGCGTGTGTGTGTGTGTGTGTGTGTGTGTGTGTGTGTGTGTGTGTGTGTGTGTGTGTGTGTGTGTGCGTGTGTGTGCGTGTGCTGTGTCTGTGTCTGTGTCTGTGTGCGGCCGTGTCTGTGTGCGGGCCCGTGTCTGTCTGTCATGGGTGTCTGTCTTCCGCTTAGCACGTCATTCTCTCTGTGCTTCACTCCTGGCACGCTTCGTGTCAGGCTAAAGTACAATGTCGATTAGAGAGTAGGATGTGGTTGGTGATCGACGCAAAGAGCGAAAGGTTGAGGGGCGGGGAGGGAGAGGGAGGGAGGGAGGGAGGGGGTAGGGAGAAGGGAGTGAGGGAGAAGAGAGGAGGGTGGGAGGAGTGAGGGAGGGAGGAGGGAGGGAGGGGTAGAGGCAAGGAAAGAGAGGGTAGGGGTCAGGAGAAGAGAGGGGTAGGGGGCAGGGAGGGGAAGGGAGAAGGGAGGACGAAGGGGAGAGGGTGAGGGTAAGGGAGGGGGAGAGGGTGAGGAGGAGGAAGAAGGGAGGGGGTAGGAGTGGGGGGTGATATGACCTCCTCTGAAGGATTTTGATCTTTCCTTGCGGGTCTCTCGAGGGGAAGGGATGGGGGGAGGGGGAGGGGTGGAGAGGATTCCTTGGCATTCATCATATTCACTCGGCAAAAAGACATGGCCTGGCAGGGTTAAAGGGCTTCTGGATCTGCCGAAGGAAATTTGCATGAGAGGGAGAAGGAGAGGAAAGGATGGAGAGAGGGAGGGAAGAAGCGAGAGAGGGAGGGAGAGATAGGTGAAGATAGATAGATAGATTGAGGAAGAGAGAGAGAGAGAGAGAGAGAAAGAAAGAAAGAAAGAACGCAAGAAAAAGAGAGAGAGAGAGAAAGAAAGAAAGGCAGGATGAAAAATATAAAGATATTTTTTCGAATGTGAATAAGACAGATCCAACAGACACCCTTCCCTCACGCCCACGTCCTCCCCCAGGTGGTGCTCCCAGCCACGGGCGGCTACTGGGACGAGAGCAGCACGGACATGGACCACCAGTACGCCAACACCAACTCCAACAATAAGTTCGAGACGGATGAGACAGCGCGGTACTACAGAAGGTTCTTCATGGGGAATGTAAGTGTTGATTCGGAATTTTGCGGTTCGATTGGTTGTTGTTTTTGTTTTGTTGATGTTGTTGTGTTCGTTTTTGGTTTCTTCGGGTTTCGGTTTCTCGTTCTCTTGTTATCTTTCTCTTTCGTTTTCTCGTTCTTCGTCTTTTTATGCTCACTCTTGTTCTCTGTATCTCATTCTATCTCTTTTTCTCGCTCGTTTTTTTTTCGCTTGAAAACTCTCTCTCTCTCTCTCTCTCTCTCTCTCTCTCTCTCTCTCTCTCTCTCTCTCTCTCTCTCTCTCTCTCTCTCTCTCTCTCTCTCTCTCTCTCTCTCTCTCTCGCTCTCGCTCTCTCTTATTCGATGAGTCAGAGATTATATGCTGATCAATCGTTTTTAATAGACACTTTTCGTAGTATAATTACAAGGTCGTTCGTTTTAAAGTAACAGTTAATGAACCAGGTATAAATCCCGGCCTTGCATGTGCGCATCAATATTTCTCTCTCTCTATCTATCTATCTATCTATTTCTCTCTCTCTCTCTCTCTCTCTCTCTCTCTCTCTCTCTCTCTCTCTCTCTCTCTCTCTCTCTATATATATATATATATATATATATATATATATATATATATATATATATATATCCGTTTATCAATTTCTCTTTTCCTATCAGGTTAGGAGGTCAGAAAGGTATTAAGGACTCTATGATTTCTAGAAAATTGTGCCATTTCCCATTCCCCAAATAAATGTATAATGCACATGACATTCCTTCGTCCATTTTTTTCATTATGCACACGACATTCCTTCGTCCATTTTTTTTTTTTTTTCATTATGCACACGCCATTCCTTCGTCCATATTTTTTTTATCATGTTTTTTTTTTTCCACCTTTTGGGAGAGTTATTTCCCTTCCCTCTGCCCCCCGTTCGCGTCCCGGTCTCAGTGGCGGCTCTCGGGTGCCTCGCGGGCCGTCGCCTTCCAGAGAACGGCGCCCGAACCCTGTTATGAGGTAGTTTGGGCGTCGATCAATCTGTTGTCGGGGCTGCCTCGGGGTGGGCGTCTGATGGGCGTGATGAGTGTTATTAGGGGCGTTTGCAGGTAACGGCTCTTCCCACGGCGGGTTGGGGGACGTGGGTCTTTTCTGTTTCGACGCTCTGGTTATTTATTTATTTTTTTATTGTATTTTTTTTTTCGTTTTGGGGGTGTTCTTTCTTGGGTTTGTGGGGGGGGGTTTGAATGTGTCGTATTTTTATTGTTGTTGTTATTGTTTTCATTCTTTTTTATTCCGGTTCTTTTTTTTTCTTTTCTTTTCTTTTCCTATTTATCTGTTCGGTTTCTATTCTTTGCCTTTCTTCTTTTGCGTTCTTTTGGTTTCGTCTTTCCTTTTTTTTGTAATTCTCCTTTTCCTAGTTATCTCTCCGCTTTTTCTTCTGACACTGCCTCTTCCTGTCCCGCCTCCGTGGCACTTTTAACACTAGCCATTTCGCTTCTCATGCTTTATCATGCTCTTGCTCCTCCTCTTCCTTCCGTTTCCGTCTAATAACCATCTCTTCCCACCCTCCCCTCTCTCCCACTCCTCTTGTTTCTTTCTCCCACTCCTATACTTCTCTCTCCCCATTCTCCAACCCCACTCATCTCCCCACTCCCCTCTTCACCTACTTCTTTCCCCCACCCCACTCTACTTTCTCCCCCTACTCTCCCCCTCCACTCTACTTCTCTCCCCCACCCCACCCCACACTTCCCCCCCCACCCCACTCTACTTCTCTCCCCCCATCCCACCCACTCTACTTCTCTCCCACCCCCACCCCCCTACTACTCCCCCCTTACCCCACTCTACTTCTCTCCCCACTCCCACCCCACTCTACTTCTCTTCCCCCACCTCCACTCTACTTCTCTCCCCTCCCCCACCCCACTCTACTTCTCTCCCCCACACCCCACCCCCCACTCATCTCCCCCCAATACATCACCATAAACACCATCTTCCGGGATGCGAAGGTGAGACCCGTAGTTCGGGAGCGCGCCGAGAGAGGGGGGGCAGGTGTAGTACCGTCGGCGCAGGTAGTGGTTAAATGGGCTCCCTTGTTAGGACCCGGTGCTTCCGGTGCCCTATGGGAGGATGGGTAGGGGATAGGGGGGGGGGGAAGGGGGACAGTTAGGGAGGGGAGGGGGTTGTAAGGGTCTTTAAGGAGGGGGAAGGGATAGGGAGGAGGAAAGGGGAGGGGGGGGTAAGGGTCTTTAAGGAGGGGGAAAGGAAGGGAGGGGGGGGTCTAAGATACCTATGAGGATGGTGGAGGAGGTCTATGGGTCGAGAGGGAGGGGAAGGGGGGGTCTGGGAGATAATAGGTGACGGGGTATGGAGGGGGAGAAGTGGTAGAAGGGAGAAGGGGGGGTAGAGGAGAGCAGGATGAGTGTTGTTATGGGCGGCGTTATCTCTCTCCGTCCTCCTTCCTCCTCCGTTTATCGTGTTCCATCTTTGTTGTGATCGGCGGGGGTGGGGGTTGGGGGGGCTGTTTGTGTCTGATGGGGATCGGGAATTCGCGTCGAGGGGGGAGGGGGGATGTTGTAGTTGCGTGATCTTTTGTTTGTATCGAATGTTTTATCTATTTTTTTAATGTCTTTTATTTTCTCTTTTGTCTCTGTTCTTTTTTATTATTTCTCGGTCCCTGTTTTCTCCCTCTCTTCATTTTTCTTTTCTTTCTCTTGATTTGCGTGAGTTTTGTGTGTATGGAATATTTGATCCTATTTTTAAAGTATTTTTTTATCGGTTTATGTTCTCTCGTCTCACTCCTCTTTTCTCAAAAGTCCTGTTCCTCTCTCTCTATTTTCCCTAGCTTAGTTGCGTGAGTTTTATTTTATTTGTATCAAACGTTTATTTCTATATTCCTCTGTCTCTACCCCTTCATCCTAAGTCCCTGTTCCCCTCTAACACACACTCTCTCTCTCTCTCTCTCTCTCTCTCTCTCTCTCTCTCTCTCTCTCTCTCTCTCTCTCTCTCTCTCTGTTTTATTTGTATCAAACGTTTATTCCTCTCTCTCTCTCTCTCTCTCTCTCTCTCTCTCTCTCTCTCTCTCTCTCTCTCTCTCTCTCTCTCTCTCTCTCTCTCTCTCTCTCTGTTTTATTTGTATCAAACGTTTATCCCTCCTCTCTCTCTCTCTCTCTCTCTCTCTCTCTCTCTCTCTCTCTCTCTCTCTCCTCTCTCTCTCTCTCTCTCTCCTCTCTCTCTCTCTCTCTCTCTCTCTCTCTCTCACCACCCTTGTACCGCATGCCTTAGGCGGTTCCCAGCATTAAGAGCTCGTCGGGCAGTAACGTACAAGGAGCAGTTTTTTATAACATTTCCTCTGAAATGTTCAGGTACAATGTGAATCGCCCCCCCTCCCCCTCCTTCACTTTGTTCCATTTTGTTCAGATTATTTTCTTTTTATCTTAATTATTGATTTTCTCTTTATTTCGTATTTGTTGATTTATTTCTTTATTTCGTATTTGTTGATTTTTTTCTTTATTTCCTATTTGTTGGTTTTCTTCTTTATTTACTATTTGTTGATTTTCTTCTTTATTTCCTATTTGTTGATTTTTTTTTTGTATTTCCTATTTGTTTATATTTTTTCTTTATTTGCTTTTTGTCGATTTTCTTCGTTATTTCCTATTTGTTGATATTTTTTCTTTATTTCCTATTTGATGATGTTTTTCTTTATTTCCTATTTGTTGATATTTTTCTTTATTTCCTATTTGTTGATTTTCTTCTTTATTTCCTATCTGTTGATTTTCTTCTTTAATTCCTATCCGTTGACTTTTTTTCTTTACCCTTCACTTTTCTCTACGAGTTTGTTAACATGTCAGCCGTCCCAGTGTCTCGGGTCCATCTGCCTTCCCTCCTCGGATTTTGGGACGGGATCTGAAACCGATTTTATCTCGTGGGTTTTGCGTGATCCTGGCGACCCGAGTGGCGTCCCGAGGCTATAAAGGAGAGGGTTTATGCAACGCCCCCCCCCCCCCCCCCCCCCCCATCGGCCCCGCGTGTCATTAAGCGGTGCGCAAACAAAGATGCAACTCAGAGGCCCGGGAGAGGGGGAGAGGGAGAGGGGGGAGAGGAGGGAGGGAGGGAGAGGAGGGAGGGAGGGAGAGGGGGAGGAGGAGGGGAGAGGGAGGGAGGGGAGGGAGAAGGAGGGAGGGGAGGGGGAAGAGGAAGAGAGAGAGATGGGATGATAAAATAGATAGATAGAGAGAAGGTTGAAGAAATAGAGAAGGAAAGCGAAAGAGAGACAGAGAAAGAAGAAATAAATAAAGAATTTACATAGACATTCATAGAACCGGAAAGACAGATAGAGAGAGAGAGAGATAGAGCCACACTTCAGTGCTAGAGAGAATCACAAAGAGGTAAACAAGGGTTAGAGAATAACTAAGGGGTAAACAAGGGGTAGAGAATAACTAAGGGTAAACAAGGGGGGAGGGAGGGGGAGGGTAGGGGGGGGGGTAGAGAGAGGAATGAGATTGACCGAAGTTCAAGGTCGCCAGTGAGAACGGCGAAGTCTGGGCCTGACCTTTCCCAGCGTCTTGGCCGGAAAGGGTAAGGTGGCTGCGGGCGGTGGCGGAGGCGGCGACCAGCCCGGCAGCCACCGTGGGAAATTCCCCTCCGCTCGGTCGCTGGGGCTCTATTTCTTGGTTTTATTGCTTGTGGGAGGTTTATTTTTTTTTACCGAGGGGGCGTTTGCGCTGTATGGGCTTTATTGTTGGTTATGGGTGGAAGGGAAGTGTCTTGTTGGTTTTTGGGATTTTCCGGGAAGGTTGGTTTTTTTTTTTCGTTTTTTTTTTTTTTTTTCCTCAGGTGCTTGTCTACCCTTGAAATTTACTCCCGATCTTCCCTTTCCCTCATTTCTCTTTTTCCCCTTCCTCTCTCCCTTTTTCCCCTTTACTCTCTTGTTCCCCTTTTCCCTTCCCCAATCCCCCTTCCTTATTTTCTCCCTGTTTTTACGCACCTCCCCCCTCCTTGCGGTCGTCTGGTCAGCGCGTCCGCCTCAACCGCACCTGTTT